GCGGAAATCGCAGAGGGTCAGCGTTTTTACAAACGAGGATTATATCAATCGAGTGGTCCATCGGAAAAAAGTGAGACAAAATACAATTGCACTGAGAAGACAAATGATAGGAGTCAAATTACAGAGGTAAACAAAGACCTACCCCTTTGCCAAGTGACACAGAGATAGATAAAAGAACGGGAAAACAGGAAGTACCTTGGAGAGCTCCTGATACTTGTTTGTTTGGTACAAATCCCTCTGTCTGCGTTCAGTTTAGGGTTTCAAGGCTCAATATGTCTCACGAAAGAAACAAAGATGGAGTGCGGAGTGGGGTGGGAGTGTTACACAAAATAGCATTAGGGACGGATTGAATGTATAGGAATCGCAGTCGTTAAGTTGTAAATCATCATTCTCACTGAGGTTGAAAAGCAGTCGGTAAAGAGTGTTTTAGGTGTCTCCATGTTTTTAGCAGTGGTGACCGAGTTTCAAGTTTGCTGAATAAGGTTTGTCTAGCAATCGAATTCTCCACTAAGGCGCGTGCACTAGCCGCAGTGTTTTGTATATGAACATTGGTGAAATTCGACAACGGGCGCTCACACACTGGTATATACATACAAGAATTCACTATTGGTTGAATATAAACAGCACCCTCAAATTTGAGAGGTTTACGAAAACGCTCACTCTGGAGTACAAGCAAACAAATACAGGAATGAACATGTGCACACAACTCCTGCAGTTTATCTACAAGCTCGTTCACGAACCGTGAGGGGAGATATGAATAGATGGGCTGTATCAGTATCCGCGTAACTCGACCGAGTTGACAGTAGCTACAAACTCGGAGTAACAGCAAGGACGAGAGAGGAGGGCTAGTTGTGATGAGAAATTAGCTTGGTCCGGGTTGTTGTTTCGTATCTACCGACTGTTGGGGCTCAGTTTTTCCGAGACAGTCCACATTTGGCTCATGAGTCAACACATCGAGACTAGTGGTCGTAGGGAAGGCAGACATTTGCCTGTAAAAGAAGCAAGGATTGGGAAGCGTTAACCACCCCAGAAGACGCTCAATTGTTCGGGAATATTATGCTTGTGAGAAAGAAGATATCTTCAGCAGAAACTTACCTTGAGGCGTCGTTAATCCTCTGGAAACTTTTGCCTGAGGTTGAATTTTCATGTATGGAAGCGCACATTCCGAAAAGAAAATAGTTCTAGCACTATGTATGTACTTCGTCGTTAACGGCGAATATACATTCGCTAGTTGATTATTTTTACGGTAAACCCTCGTTCACCACAGAAACACTAAATTGTAATCTTGATCATCTGATTTCTATTAGCCTAACTAGGAAACAAGCTACGAGAAGATCGAAAGAACACAGGTCAAACGAAACTGAGCAATACCCGTTTCACGAGGAACACCGCTGCGCTTGTCTCTCGAATTATAAAAGGTGACGGTATCAGAGATTCCATTCGGAAAGCGTAATCCCGCCTAGGTATTTCAAACCAACCCTTAGTCCAGCTGTGACTTGTCTTCTTGAAATTATGCGCAGAAAATGTAGTTTTTCATGACGATTGAGATTTTCTGGCGTTCCCACGCAGCCACATATTTAGCTTTCCGAGTGTGTTTCATTTCACGTCAATGGATTCTAGTCTTCTGGAGGGGGGGGGTCTGATGTTCAGGACAATGTATTAGTAGCTCTTAATGCTCAATTTGAACAACGTTGTGGTGCAGCACAATATTAAGGAATAAAACGGATGAGCAGTTTTCACATATTCCTAGATGAGTGATATCAAAAGAGACCAATTTCAGTGGATCTTTTTAGGTATGCTCGAATCGCGGGTTTAAGGACTGACATCTTACAAGGCGAACTGCTTCATGATGGTGCCTATCAGTTCAGTTCCGTTTAACGTAACACATCAAGTAGCACATTGCTAACTGTCCTATATCCAGAGGACTATCTAACATCTAAATTTTCCGATCACGTGATCCAAATGTCTTTGAAAATGTGACAAGTATGACTTACGGAATCTCTGGCAAGCCCGATTGATCCAATAGTCCTGGAATAGCTGCGTCCATCGTTAATCCCGGCAATGTTGGATTGACTGCATGCGGAACAAGAGTGGATCTATCCACTGATGTAGTCGTTGCACCATCGGCTGTCGGAAGCAACAGGGCAGACAGGAGTGGGGATGCTTGAGATTGGGTTGATGCCAACGATAAGTGGGACGACGGAGGCCTCCACATGGCGGAGCAGATCAGCTGGGAACCGCAAGCGGTAGATGTGCTGGCTGTCACTAGCGACTCGTCAGTCACGCTGATCGGCTGTTGGTTTGTGTTCGTCACGGTCGCGGACGTGTCGGTCAGCGATTCNTTTTCATGCTTGAATTCAGATTCCTCTTCTCACCGGAGTTGGATCTGTGCACCTTTTCCCCGGAACAGACGTGAGAAAACATTATGGTCTATCCGATTCTACCATATTTATGTCTATTATATGAGATCTGAGTAACTGAATTTGAAGGCGGACAAACAATTCGTAGACGACAAGCACAACAAGTATATATTCACAGTTTGGGAGATGATTGCCTCGTTTACCTATTCACTGAGGGTAATGTTAACTAACTTGATCTATAAAAGCCTGGAATAACAAACTACTCGTTTTTCCTTTCTTGACCAACTGAACTCATACTACTTTACTTGGGGGTGTGAATATCGACAATCGCTTGCGGGTAGCTTGCATACTTCTAAATGATAATTACCTAGATACAAATCTTCATAAAGGTTTGCATGTTCTAATCTGTTTGCACACGCTTTACGTCTTTCTGAGGCTTCCAATACAAATAGTTTACTGTAAGACCGTTTATTATAGAACGGTTATGTAGCTTCTGGTCACCTTTTATTATGAAGATAATGTCGAATGTTGTGTCGTCAACTTATTGCAGTAGATGGTCACTGGAGAACCTCTGGTATATGGGTAGGGGTAATTGTATGATTAATACTAGCTTTAGTTAGTCGCAACATAAATATTTCAACCTCAAAGAAAACAATCAGAATGTGCTTATTCGTACTTTGGATGATGTGCATTTTCCTCACAGCAGTGCAGCTATGCTAAAGTCAACTACTCATAAGTAGGCTGTTTTCAGGTTGGAAAATGTTTACACAACAGCTATTCGATGATCATAGACTTGCATCAGCAGCGTTATCGGGGCTTACCTGATTTTTCCCTGAGTTGGAATTAGGGAACCATCGTCTAAAACAAACAAGATTGGCAATGGGAAGTGAGAAGATGCTGCGTTTCATTGACGGATTAAAAATCACAACTGCTATTCTATTGCAATAAGTACGATGGTTTTTCCGCTGTATTTGCCCATTAATTTCGATCTTTCATGCTTCTTATTTCCAAATAGAATATTTACTAGTCAATTGTTTGCTTCAACTTTCCGTCTTGTACTAGTGATAACTAATTAGCGTAATCAGTGTTGCCAGTTGTTTATCCGGGTTACTTGAATTAATCAGATAGCCCTCGGCTATGCACACTCTACGGCTCATCTGATTNTTTATTCACCCGATGAATAATACTACTTTAGAGGATGAATCAGTACTTTTATCAAAACTGAAGTCTCTGTTTAAGAACGAGAAATAATCGATTTCTTAATGAGAAATCCCCGCACAGTATACGCGATCTCCTGCCTCGTGGGAGAACTGATGTCCAGTCATTAGTTCACGGAACTTCATACAAACAACGGGATGATGTGGTTATGGGAGAAGCACCACTGAGTCTATTGCTTACAAATACCTTCCCTGCAAAGTTAGAAAGAACTAAACTCAATTATTAAATAGATAGCTTCGAACAATACTACTGATATGTGGACGATACATTCTTTGACTGACGCTAGCTGTGACTTGGAATCAGTACAAAGGGAACTCAGGGAGGCGCGCAAAGCAGCGCGTTTAACAATCAACTACCGTTTGTGGATGTGCCTTAGTAGAATGGAAGATAGCCGGATCGAACCAAAAGTTTGCCGAAAACTCATAAAGAATGGCCACTACACAAACCTCAATAGTTTCATTAGCATCCAACAGAAGCGTAACCTAGTGAAATATTTTTTGTCGCCAAAGCGAGGGTGACCTACTTCAAGAGGCTTTGAATGATAGGCCAATGTTTGGTAGACACACTTTACACGACAGCGGATGCCCAGACCCGTTAATTGAAAGAAATTCAATCGAAAATACCAAAAAGTCCCATGTAAAAAATTACGGTTACAGATCTTCTATCCACTTATAAAGCTCATGACATCCACATTCTCAGCACTGATTTCCTGCATTCGGATAAATCACCCGTGGTAAATAAGCGATTCTTTACAAGCTCCGTTATTAAGATATCGGCCATAGTAAGATGTTACAACTGGGCTACGTTGATTAAACGAATAGTAGATACTATATCAAATATCTAAGATATGATTGAGGATTTTGGAAGTGGAACATTGATGTATAAAAGTGGCTACTCTTATCACGATCAGCATCGTAGTGTGATTACCGTCGGAACCGTGATCGTTGATCGGTTAAACGGCAAGCATGAGCACAAAAAATATTAAAAAGCGAAAAATGACAATACAAAGAGACTTACACAACACGTTTTGCTTTTCGTCGCTGATATTCTGTCTCATCTACAATCCATACGGAACCAGAAGCTGTCTCAACACGTCGGAAACATTTGTGCAACGACAAGTTGTGCCGCACGGCATTCTGTGAATGAAGGGCAGTTGAAAAATTTGATTAATATTTGATAAGTAACAAACCAGAAAACTCCTAAAAACGTGTTTTCTGGAGAAAAAGCGCGGTGCTTCACGTACTAAAATTGCAGTGTGGTTGGTTCCGTTTTATATGCTCTTGATCTTTGTAGATACGGTACAACATGCCCACTCACAGATTTCATTCAAAATGTTCAGAATGTTCTATCACTGTCAATCGCAATAAACCCGTGTTTGTAAGTGAATAATCAGACAGACATTAGAGTATAACGCCCTCGAGGTTTCCCAACGAGGGAAATCGTCGATGAGAGCGAGCAAGAGAGAAAATAATATTAGTTTTTAAAGCAGTCCAAGTTCCGCGATCGAACCCTCAGTACACAGCCGGTCCTGAAACGAGGAACTAAGTCACCCATAAGACAATTGATAATCACTTATTCAGAGTAAGATCTAATGTGGACCTACGTATAAAAATACAGTTGCTCAACTACTGGCTACAATCGGGATCTTAAAGAAAACCAAAAATGTGTATCCTTCTCCCGCGGAACATGCAAGATACCACCCGAGTACAAACAGAAGAAGGAGGGGGGAACAACATAGAAGGTAGATGTAGTGTTGAAAACATTAGCGAACACGTCTACTTTATCAATTAAACTGGAAACGATCGTGCCTGATGCGTTACGAATAACGGAAGGATATAAAAATGAACAAAACGTTACGGATGATGGATTCCGCGAGGCACCAAAATCAACGGCTAATAGGCGAAACAATGCCACGTTCAAAGATTGAATTTTGGACGACAACTGAAACTGGTTTGAATATGAACGAGTTGTGGAGAAAATTATTGGATTTTTATCCGTGGCTACGGATAATTGTATTCCGTAGAAGAAATAGAGCAAATTGAAGAGCAAGATGAGCATTTCGAATAAGGTGATAAAAATTAATGAAAACAATGTGCCAACTTGGCACAGGAAACTGAATGCGGTTTCCTCGTTAACTGCCAATGTGCTTTAGCCTCACTTTAGTATGTCACGTCTTTCTGATGCGAATTAGCGAGTAAAGTGGTAGCTCCTCATAGAGCCCATGAATGAGTTCTTCGATGGGATAGGATGCAGTTAGCGATCAACAGACAATCGTGCTGTAGGTCATCAGACTTGTGTACAATCAATGAATGCAAAGATTGCATTTCACGCTATTTAATAAAATGTGATGATTTCGATTACAATGAAGGTATAGAAGAATGTAATTTCATACAAATGGTCAGCATATTGTGCAGTGACTGATCCACATCACAGTGTTTACCAAAATGCGCAATCCGTCTCCGGTGTTCATATATCACAGATGGAACATCCGATAATAAAGACCAATTGGTGAGAATTGTCCTTTTGTTGAAAAGCAATAGCATTTATTGCTATCCAAATAGGCAAGCTTCTATATATTCCTGCAGGGATTAGTAAAGGTTTTAATTCACTTGGATGATGAATTCCATCAGGTACAAAGCAGGGAACAGCAGTGGTTCAAACTTGTTGACCCTAAGCCCGGGGTTTCATAGATAGAATCGAAACACTCAGCTAACTTAAACGCCAGACAGTTGATCAGACTGTAGGCCCCGTTATGCTCCTTGGCTGGGGACCTCGGGATGATGGTCACCGATGGTTAGAGACACTGAGTGATATGTCTGGGTGTCGCAAACAGTGGCGCTCGTGCAGCCACTCACTGGTCTCCCAACACCGTTCTACATAAATCATCTATCTTCCGCTTGAGTTTGCTTTCAACATTCTAATCTTCATTGTGCTTTTTTATCCAAATGGGGCACCAAAAGACAGTAACCAAAAACCGGCGCACGGAAGTGCATGGTTATTGGTTGTAAAAACTGAACTGATCAAACAGTTTTAGTCTGCCTACCTAAATGTGTATGCATGATGAAACGAAGATTTAAACAGTTTTACAATGATTCCGTCTCTTCAACTTACACATATTGTGAAGCTCAACCTATGTTCTGGTAGGTTTGCGTGTCATCTTAGCCACTGTTCGACTTTTACAAAACCAGTTTGCTAATAACTTAGAGCTGACAGGATTTTATGAATGACCTCTGGAGTCCTTGAAGCTGTTTTATTATCATCATTTCTATTTTCGGTATATCCATTATGAAAACCTCAACTTCCCAGCCTCATAATGAGTAGATACCCTACGTACTTCGACTTAGGAATGCCATGTTCAGACAACAACTTTTTAATATACAAAAAAAATTATCAGGAAATGCCTACGCATTCACTCCTACGCAACTCTCTCCTGTCCAAGGATATATATACACGCTTACAAGCAGTGTCGTTAGCACTCCACTCCAGAGTTTAAACGCTGGAATGGGGATCAATGGATATGAATTACTGATTTTGTATTCTCTTGTGTATAACTTTTTCAACCATCACGATGAGACTGCATCTTAACCTGGGGTGATGGCTTGCGTGCCTCAATGACCCTGAGAGCTACACAGGATGGCTTCTCACAGCCGATCATTCCTGAAAGGTCAGTGGGTAGAGGGCAGACGAAAATCAGTCTCACGAGGCCAGCTGCTTGGGCACCTCCTGGCTTCCTTCTTTCATCCACATTCGCCCCTGGAGAAGTCAATCCAACAAATAACCACAGTGAGGGGCAGTTCACCGATCGAAAAAACCCCGCTAGATGGAAGTCGCAGCGGGGTACCTGGTGCTTCCTCTCGACGGTGGGAGAAGTCTTTACACTTCATTGGACAGCTACCGCCCGACCAAGCTGGGCAGCCCTCAGCCATTAAAGTGCTGTTCCGCCCGTCTCATTGGGTGCATGAGGTTAAGGGCCGAACCCGAAAAGTAGACCAATAATCAATACACCAGAGAACAACACAGTTAATCGAAATTCAAAAGATTTGCGTGACAGATATCTAGAAGCTTCCACTCGGGTGCTTCGTTCACGCCCCCGCGTAGGTTTTACACCCAACTACCTTGTGGGTCAGATATTGAGTAGAAGGCTCCGGTTAGGGTTCCCAAAGAAAAACCTCTTCGTTGGTGTGGGTTATCGCAAAGTATGTCGTGCCCTAAAGTCTTAGGCATCTATTTGGAAAACCTCTTCCTCATCTGTCCATTTCGGCCTCAATCCCGAATAATCCCAGGTTCCTTCTGTTTACACCGCCCATCAGATATAACTCCGCGTTTTCCCAGTCAGATCAAGCAATCAGAAGTTCTAGGATTTTGGAATCCAAAATATCTTTTTCACGTAGCCGCGTTTGATGTCCCCACTCTGTCAGATCGATCAACCAACTGCCTTAGATAGAACATTTAAAGCTTTCGATTTAGATGTATGTTGTGTTTCGGAAACACGAATACAAGACCCTACTTCAATTATCTTCCTGTGTTCTCCAGATCCGACCTTATCCTCACTCTCTGTTTATCAGACGATTCGGCATCCGAAGCTCGCGGTTTTGCTGTTGTTTGGATTGCGCTAAGTGCCAGTGAGTAGCCGACTGTGCTCTGTACGTCTCAACATTTCAGTTCGGGTCAATAGCTACAGAACGAAGCGTCGATGCTTATCCGTCACATTTATGTATGCATTGACCAATTGCAGTACACCTGAAATCAAGGATGAATTCTACAGCGATTTTCTTAATTACTCCAAAGTATTCGATCAACGCTGGAGGGGGTCGATTCAAGACTGCCGATCTTACTAGTCCACACCTGTGGATGCGGATCACGCATTGTTACCCGCCAAATTCTCCTTACGCCTGGCAAACAACCGCAAAAAAGCCACCGACAATGGATACCCACGATACAGCGTTAGCGATTGTTGCGAATCGGCAATTGAAACGAAACTCGCCGATCGCCTATCATTTCAATCACCAGCCGAAGGACTCGATAAACACTAAAAGCAAATCAAGGAAGCTATGCAAATATCGATAAAACAACTTCGGACCCTGGCGCAGGCTAAAAACACAAACGATGGATCTCACCGACCTCGGTTGCTCTGCTGAATGCTCGCAGAACCCTTCCTCCGGTTGCAACATATGACACAGCGCACAAATCCCTTAAAAAATGTCAGCTCATCAAGAGTCTGAGGAATGATCGCGAGAAGTGGTAGGTAGAAATGTGCAAGGAGATGGAGATAGCTGCGGCTATTGATAATAGCCGCAACGTTTCCGTCCAATTAGGAATACGGGCCCTAGGAAAATAGGCGTAAGTAAGCGATGACACACTGATTAACCATCAACAACGCCGTTGGGCTGAACATTTTGAGGCTCAGTTCAATTGGCCCCCATCGACAGCTGAGCTATCACCATCCACCTCGAATGGGCAAATACTGCCATTTGACATCAGTCCTCCATCTGAAATGGAAGTTACCCGAGGAATAAATTATCTCAAAAGGTATAAGGCTTCCGGCCCCGACGGACTGTCCCCATCGGTCTTTAAGGATGGAGGTTCAGCCTTGGTTTTGGAGTTAACAAAATTCCTGGGCTCAGTGTGGGAGAGGGAAGAGGTCCCAACTGAATGAAGTGAATCAGTCATCATACCGATTTCTAAGAAAGGTGATAGATCTACTTTTGAAAACAGCTAAGAGGAATTAGTTTAATCAACATCGTCTCTAAACTTCACGCTGGAATCATACTCCGTCGATTGCCTGCCGCACGTGAACGGTGCACGCGTGAGCTTTAGACCTGGTCGAGGTTGTATCGACCAAATCGTCATTCTTCGCCAAACTCTGGAGCATCGAAATTTTTTTCGTAGACCCACCATCTCTGTCTATCTGAATCTGAAAACGGCTTTCGACTCAGTCGACCACTATAAACTCTGGCCCCGCCTTTCTCTATCTTACAATCCTTTTATGCTAATAGCCGAAGCCGAGTCCGAACTTACGGCACTTTTTCGCCCGAGTTCACCACGGAAAGTGGTGTTTGACAGGGTTGCTCCCTCTCCGTTTCTATTTAACTTTGTTATAGATTAATTCTTGAAACAGTGGCATCGATCTCGGGTGGTAGGCTGTCTGGTCTAGATTATACAGACG